AATCTGTCTAAGACTTATAGAAGTGTTCATATCAATAAGAAGAAGGGTAAAATAGAACAGAATTGATAAGAAAACATTAAATGTATCATGGATAGAAATGGTATTTTTAAATGAAACACAAATTTTTCAGCTGGTATAAATATATTATTCATTTACTGATAGATATGTAAATATTATATAAGTATATATAATTACATTATTGAATATAGCATATAGTCACATGTGATATATTCCCACATGTATCCAAAAGTTCACCTCTTCATTCTTCAGCTATTTGCTGGAATGTCATTTTTCAGTGAGACCTTCCCTGACCACCCTTTTAAAATTGAATGCCCTCTTTATAATACCCTACTGTCTTTTAAAACATAGCGCTGGCCACCTCATCTACTGTATATTTTACTTTTTGGTGTTTCTTAGAGTCTGTTCTCCCCTCAGCCCCTGCCCACCACTACAATACAATCATCAATAGGGTAGAGATGTTTTTATTCACTACTACTTCCTCAGTGCCTCAAATAGTTTCTGATGAATGGTAGGTACTCAATAAAAATGTTCAAATTAATTAATTTAAGTGTTTGTGGATGTGCTGGGTCATGAAGCATAATAAATATTTCTTATGGTGAGTTAAGAGTTTTGAAAAGAATGTTTAAAACACTCTATAAGGAAATTCTTACTCATTTGCAAAAGACATGAGCAAAAATTATATTTCACTATATTAGTGATATATATCATCTTACTATATTTCACATAGTGAAATTATATTTCATGATTTACAATAATGAAAATTTGAAAACTAAATGTTCAACTGAAAATATTGTAGTTTTATAAGGTAGAGTATTATACAATGGTAAAATAATCAACTTAAGCTACACAGATCAGCATGGATAAATCTCAAAACTACAGAATTGAAGAAACATAGCAAGTTTTAGAAGAGCATACATGTTACCAAAACTGATATAAAAATTGCAAAGCAAAACATATATATACTATTTATAGATACAAACATATAGAGTAAAAGTATAAATAAATAGAGAAGACTGATAAAAGACCAGATTTAGAATAGTTGTTGAGGCTGGAAAGAGCTATAGGTCGGGGAATGATTTTGCAAAGACACGCTTGGGCTGAGGTTTTTATAAATTTTTCCTTGTTAACGGGGAGGTCGTCGTGTTATTCTCTATTCTTTTCTGCTTGTATGAAATATTGTATTTTTAAAGTCACCAGTCTTTCTATATCCTAAAAGGGTCTGTAGCTTAGAACCTTGCACCTCCCCTGGACCTAGTGCCTCTTGGGAATTGGACTCGTGGCACTGAGGATAGCAGTCATGGAGCTTTCTAGAAATGGTGGTTCTCTAGCTTCATGTGCCCAGACATTTTGCTCCTAGAAGAGGCAGGGTTGGCCTGAGGTACTAGGATCATCCACCACTTCTGGCTGCTCTCATTCTCTGTTCTGGGGAAATTTTGGCCTATCTTAAGCTCCCCCAAGGAGAATTCTAGGATGAAACAAACAGACGAGCACTCTCTGAAAAGCTGAGGCCAGTCTTGTGACAAACATGTGAGATGGGAAGGTAACAACCTTGCAAGGACCGCCCCCACAGTGTGACAAGAGGCTGAGGGGAAGGGGCAGAATCTCAGGCCACAGGGATGATGAGATAAAGGCACAAGCTGTTGCTGATGATGTTGGAACCTCTGAATTTTTGTCTATGATTCGGGAGTAAATATTCTGTCAAAGAACTGCTTTCACAGAATTTTTTTTTAGCTATTTAGCTTCCTGCATATAAATTTACTCATTCAGAAAGCTGTGCTAAGATATAGGATTTATAGGTGAGGACAAATGGGAAATCACAGATACAGTGGGAACAATGAATCTTATTTTTCTATTTTTTAGGTAAACCGAGTAGTTAGCAGCTAAGAGAGATCAGTCTGGAAAGTCTGTCTCTAGGCAAGCTAGGCAGGACATCCAAGAATATGAGTTAGTTTTGATGGAAACTCTGAAAAAACTTGAGAGTTTAACAACTGAGTACACGCAACAGGTTGTCTCTGTATAATACACGTGAGTGAGTGTCCTTTGATTAGAAATTCCATTAGACTAGATGTATATCATTTCCCTCATTAGAATTTCTCAATTTTCCTCATTTTGGTCAAACCAGTTTTCACCATGAAGCCTTTAGTCTCTTTAACACAGAATCATCATTCAATGTCGGCTGATGTTACTGGCTGTGTAACATTTAAGCACCTGGAAACTGGAGATGTGTTCTCTTTTCTGTGCAATATTCAACATCCGTTTTCTTTCTTAGTATTGCTCTAGCAAGTGAATTTTAGTTTGCAAGACCTGTACAATTTAAGCTGTTTTGTTATTTGTTCCAAGGTCAGAAATAATGGATCCCACATTCTGGTAGTTTTAGCCATGGTTTTATTCTTGTAGCATTCATTTATAATTAAGAATACAAATATAGGAAATTGTCCTTTTTGGTGTGATCTGAAGTCTGACATTGATTAGTGTCTCTTTCAACATACTGAATCTCTTCATTATATAAGTAGAGATGTTTCTGGTAACTTCACTTTTAGAAATGCAGTTTTCACCTCTTGGGCATATGACTGTGTACATGACATTAGATATCTGATAATCTCAATTTGGAATCTCACACGTGAGGGGAAAATTCAAACCAAGTCTCAGATGGTTCAGTTAACAATTTTATGAGAACTTACAGGGATTTTAAGGTATAATCTCATGGTCTTTATCATTAGGAACAGTTGTAGAACTTTAGGCTAGGAAATATTAAACCTTTTTCAAAGCATAGTATATTAATAATTTTTTAAATTTTAGTATGTTTTATGATGTTTTGATCTTAAAAAGCTTGCTGGCCAGGGAGAGACTGCCTATCCCACTGCTAGCCAATTCTTAGAGATAGCAAAGGGCTAGAGACAGTCTTGGAGCATGTCTTTCAAATGCAAACCAACCAGTTCCAGCCCCAAGCACCTCCTTAACTAACTCTCGCACCAACCTAATATTTCCCTTGCCCTACATCAGCTGAGGCCTTGCACCTCTCAGCTACACACACCTTTACAGCCCAGAGCTATAATGAAAGAGGGTCCCAAGCCACATATAAACTTTACAGGTAAGGCAAGATCTGGTCACCTGTTGAATCTCTTGGGTAAAATCTTTATTGTTAAAAAAATAAATACATGGATCATCTTCCCCTGCCGTTGGGGTTTATTCTTTGCTATATTAAGTTTCAAGTTCTGGATATAGTTAGGGTGACACCATGCAGTATGAGACAGTCTAATTTAGCCAAGATTGCTTATCTGTCATGGGGACAGATTGTTGTTTTTGGATAAGTCTTTTTCAGAAATCAGATTAAACAATTGTCATTTTAGTATTATTGGTGGCAAAACTTCTAAGGGCTACTTATGCTGCACAACTATTAATGTGAAGGAGGCTAACCACTCAACACCTGAAGCAAAAAGCTTGGTTTATGCTTTTGTTTCCGTTATCTGTTACTGTGTAACAAAACACCTAAAACTTAACAGCTTAAAACAACAATTTATTGTTTCCTTGTAGATAGAGTGGGTAGTTTTTCTGCTCCACTTGGCCTTAGCTTGGAGCCTCTCATTCAGCTAGCATTTAGCTAACGGGACTAGGCTGGAAGGTCTAAAACACCTTCACTCACATGTCTTGACATTGTGGGGTTTCACCCCCCATAGTTTGAGTCTTTTCACAGCTTGATGATCTCAGACTAGTTGAACTTTTTTTTGTATGATGATTTGCTTCAAGAAGGAAAATGGAAGCTGTCACACTTCCTAAAGGGTAGGAAGGCCTGGAACTTCTGCCGGGCCAGTCCAGATACCAGAGGATGGGAAAATGAATCTGCATCTTATGAATAGCATGTGGGAAGGAATGGATATTGTCCATCTTTGACCATCAGATTAACCAAAGGAGGCCCATAGTTGTAAATCAAAGTAAGTAAGAAATGATACAAGGTTTTGGGAAATGGCATATTCAGGGATTGGTGGACTTTGCAAAGCAGGAGTGTTGAGGGACTGACTGCCTGTCTTTCAGGTTGTAAAAGTGTAGTCACTGGAGTGAGGCTGTAGCTAACTGACTGACTTGCTGACTTTCCAGAGCACGGTCAGAGAGAAAGCTGCTGTTCATTGACTTTCAGAAATAGGGAGCTGTCGCAGATTGGCTGATCTTCATAAGCATGTGTACTGATGAGACATTTCCTCCAATTAATTGGTATCAATTCTGATCAACTGTCTCTGATCCAGCAGGTTTGATGGTTACTAATTCATGGTTTGAGGCTATGGCCAAGAAACAGTATCCAGGCTCTCCTGAATTTGGAGACTAGGAACACTTTATTCTTATCAGAGGATTATTTTTTTAAAAGTATTTTCATTAGTACAGGCTTTACCCTTAATAGCAGATTTGCTACAGCTATTGAACTGTCCCCAGAAAGTACTAATTTTTATTTTTGATTGAGAAGTCCAATGTATTTGCTTTCACAACACACTGAAATAAAGATCTATAAAGGGATTAAGTTTCCTCTTAAACCTCCATCAAGATAGTATGCTCACGTCAGAACTGAATAGAACACTGGTATCAATATTTACTGTGGCATATTCAGAAGTTATATAAATATAAAGTATATTTAAGATATATGCAATCACTAAATATCGTAATAGGTGCTCATTAGTTTTAAATATCAGACAAATCAGAAGAAGGCATGACTAGAAAGTTGAACAGCATGAAAGTCATCTTCATTGGGAAGGGGAAATGAGACGGCATGATTATATGAAGTGTGGGCAATAAAATAATTTTACTAGTAATGTAGTAATACTAGTAATAGTAATGTAGCTGGTGGAGGTGAGTACTGTAAGTTTTGTCATTGCATTGCACTAATTAAGTATGATGTAAAGATGTTTTTTATCTTGAGATAGTGAGAAAATTACAAAATGATACAGGAAAAATTGGCCACTGACTTGGAAGAAAATATAGGACTACTGTGGTTAGTGATCAATTAACAATTTAATTTAGACAATGTTTACTTCATACATTTACTGCTATATTTCATCAGGAAATTTGCTTTGATATGACAGAAGGTAAAACACATTTCTTTGGAAAAAAATTCTAATGCTTAGGCTTGTATCCTATAAATATAATGCATATAATAAATATATTGCAAAAATACACCCACCCACAAATTGCTATATGCATCATTTCTAAACAAATACCATATATAAAAGTATCTTGACATTGGTTGTGATGTTTTCAGTTCTGAGAAAAACTTGTAAAGCCCCAGAGAGTAACTAAGTTACGCTCTGTGGGCCATACGGTCTTCTCTGAGGGCTACTGAGCTCTGCTATTGTAATGTGACAGGCAAAACAGAAATAAATGGCCTTTTTTTTGGTGTTCTAATAAAACTTGTATTTATGGATAAATTTGAAAAATCATAGAATTTTCACATGTCACAAGATACAGTTTAAGTTTTTTTTAACCATTTAGAAATTTAAAACCATTCTTAGCTTGCAGTGGGCCAGATCTGAATCACTTGTGGGAAAACGTACAACCAAACCAAACCAAGGCACCACAGCAATAAAGTGGGGGAATGAATGTTGGCAGCCAACCTTTTATTTTTTGCAGCATAATTCAAGAAGTACAAATGAAAATAATGATACTATCTAACAGATAGCTCTTCTTGTGTCTCAGACACTATTCTAAGTGCTTTAAAAGAGTTAACTCATTTACACCTCAAAGCAATCCTAACATATTATTACTATCACTTTTCGTTTATAGAAAAGGAAACTGAGGCACAGAGAGGTAAGTGGAATGCCTCATGCTATAAACTGAGCCTATGCAGAAGGAGTCCAGAGTCCACACTCCTAACTTCCATGTCATGTTGCTTCTACGAAGAAGAAAAAAGTAGTGAAGAACATTTAGGACTCTCATATAAAATACAAATGCAGGTAACACTGCACCTTGCTAAAACATTGACATTGAGACAGATATTTCTTTACATAGCATTATTTTTTCTTAATTGTGTAGTGTTTTCAGCGGTTTTAAAAAAACTCAGGTCTATCCTATAAATAAATGTATCCCTAATGTAAAATTTAGCTGACCATGAGACAGCTGAAAATGTTAAAAAAACATCTTTAGCTTTTTCTGAAGGATTAGTTCAGTAATGTCTACATCCATTTAAAAATGTCAGGAAATAGAAGAAAAAGATACATCATAATTTTAAAAGAATATAACACTTAAATACATATTATATTAACAACAGGAGTCACTGCTGAGACTAACGAGAGATATCTTCATATACACAAAAGTTACTGAACTAAGGTTACATACTACCCTAGGTACGATTATGGATGGGTTCACATGTACAGCAAACACCCACAATTTGTGTCCTGTGGCACACTGACATTCACACAGAAGTCCTGCATATTAAAGGACTCTTCATGTGTGTTTAGTGATGTCACCTAGTTATTCAATTTTTTTGTACTTTTTAAAAAGCTTTATATATTTAGACATTTGCAGGTTTCTTTAAAAGAAAAACCACCACCTTGGAATCACATCTCTGCAACATGACTTCTACTATAAATGTTTCCCTCAGTACAGATTCTCTTAGAATGTTTGTTAAAAAGCTTTCACATATTTAAAATAGCTAGAAAGATTCTGTACTTTGTATCAGCGATCTAACATTCACCAAAACATTTCTTGATAAAGCCTTCCATGTATGTTGCAATCTTTGTGATTATCCCCTCTGAGGGTTCTAGTATGAGTCCATCTGACATAAAAAGATTTCTGAATGCTCATGATACTGACAGGAATTTATCACTCCTGTGAGCTATTGGATGTTTAAATGATGGACACCCTGATAGGAAATTTCCTGACATACATTTTACTTACAGGATTTCTCTTTTGTGTGATTTCTGTGTTGTACAATAAAGTATGACTTCTGAAAGAAAGGTTTCCCTCATGTTTTGCTATTTGTAGTGTTTCTGCCATCTGTGTTGTCTGATGTTTAGTAAAGTCTGATGTATAGGTAACATTTCCTAACATTTATAGAATTTCCCTCTGTGAAGAAACATTGTGGCTGAAATTTTCCTGTATTGACATTCCATAAGATGCCTTATGTGAATTATCTGATTATTCTCAGGAACGAATTCAGACAGAATTTCCCAATTCATACTATTCATTAGCTTTCCCCTTCTGTGTGTGTCTTCTGATGTGCAGTGAGTTTTGATTTCTGGATAAAAGTTTTCCTGCACTCCTGACATTCGTAGGGTTTCTCTCCTGTGTGTTTTCTCTGATGTATGATAAAATGTGACTTCTGAGAGAAGGATTTCCCACAGTCCTTACATTCGTAGGGTTTCTCTCCTGTGTGAGTCCTCTGATGTAATCTGAGGACTGAATTCACAGAGAAAGATTTCCCACATTCGCTACATTCATAGGGCTTCTCCCCTGTGTGCTTCCTCTGATGTTTAGTGAGGTCTGATTTATAGTAGAAGTTTTTTCCACATTTGCTACATTCAAAGGGTTTCTCCCCTGTGTGAGTTCGGTGATGTACTGTTAGGGCTGACTTCTGATAGAAGCATTTCCCACATTCCTTACATTCATAGGGTTTTTCTCCCGTGTGGGTTCTCTGATGAGTTTTGAGGTGAGAATTTCTAGAGAAGAATTTCCCACACTCCTTACATTTATAGGGTTTCTCCCCTGTATGTGTTCTCTGATGTACTGTGAGGTGTGACTTCTGGGAAAAGGATTTCCTACATTCCTTACATTCATAGGGTTTCTCCCCTGTGTGTGTTTTCTGATGCACCATGAGGTATGCCTTAACATAGAAGAACTTCCCACATTCAGTACATTCATAGGGTTTCTCTCCTGTGTGTGTTTTCTGATGTTCCATGAGGTGTGGCTTCTGGTAGAAGGACTTCTCGCACTGATTACATTCATACGGTTTCTCCCCTGCATGGGTTCTCAGATGTCTACTGAGAGATGACAGGTGGTAGAAAGTTTTCTTACATTCTTTACACTCATAGGTTTTCTCTCTGGTTTGAGTTTTCTGTTGCCTCGTGAGGTCTCCATTCCTAGGGGCAGATTTGCCACATTCGCTGGGTTTGTCCTTTGAGTGAGTGTGCTGATGTACTATGAGAGCAGACTTCTGGCAGAAGGACTTTTCACATTCATTACATTTATAGGCTTTCTCTGTGGTATCAGTTTTCTGATGTTTTGTGAGTTCTCCATTCCTAGAGAGAAATTGCCATATTCATTAATGTATAAAGATTTTCTTTTTGGTCTGCTGTATTTTTCAAGTAACTCTGAGAACTGATTTCTAGAGACTTTCTCCCCCGGTGTTCATTAGATTCACAGGGTTTCTCCACTGTGACTATTCTATGTCGACATACATTCTGGTTTAACATTTGGTAGAAGGAACTTCACTTGCATTATATTCACAAGATCTCTCAACTGCCTCAGCTGTTCCCCTCTGTGTGATAAAGCCTCCCTCATTGTGTAAATCAGAAGAATCAAAAATTGTTTCAAAGTTTGATCCTGGTCCTGAATTATGAATAAAGTCTCCATTATGAGAAAGGGTAAACACGTGGATTATGTTCTTTGGAATATGTTTCAGTGTCAGTTTTCTCGTATTTAGTGTTAACTAGTACTCCCCAACTTGTGGTACCCCCATCAGGACCCTTTCTTATAAAGCTTCTAATCTCAAAATTGAATTCTTGAACTTGCCTTGTATTTTCAGCTTGGCTTTCCTGATTTCTTGGTCCTTGATCATGAATATTCCATAGGTCTTCTACAAAAGAATCACAATTTAATACCGTATACATTTTAACACATTATTATGGTCATAGGGTGGATTCTTAGGCTTCAGGCCAATATCCTCAAAGGAAGGAATTCTCAAATGCAAACTTCCTCTATCACATTGGTTGAGAAAAAAAACAAAACACACACTAATAACTGCTATAGCAGAGGGGAAGGGACCTGCTTATAAACCGAAGTACCTACCTCTGAGACTACAAATATGACTTTGAAAACTTGGAGGAGAAAGTTAAGAAAAACAAACAAACAAAGAACAGGGAGCAGAGAACAAAAGATATTCAAAGTGCTGCTGAACAGGAATGTGGGGCTCACAGAGAATGCTGTGACTCCATTAAGGACAATGAACAGTAAAGAGGGTAATAAGAAAAATCAGTAGACAACTGTGTTCACTGGAAATACCACAGGAAAGATTAAACTGGATGAAGGAGCCAAAGCAAAGGTTTTTACCCACTCAAACCTAGTCTACTGTGTCAGGATACCTAGTCGTCAGTAGACAACAAACTACTTCATTCCCTCCTCACCCATTCCACAACAATCCAGACGTCAACACTAACGTGCCTTTCCCAGAACATCCACTTCCTCATGCTTAGAGGGCTAGTCCTGCAGCTTGGGCTCTCACTCTCCAACTAGCTGTCTTAATTTTCGCTGGTTCAGAAGACCCAGAAACACATACGTCCAAAAGGAAAGACTTTAAAAAAGCAGAGTGCAAGCCGTTCTTACAAGAGAATGAATTCCCACTTGTTGCACCAGAGATTTTCAATGCTGACCACCAAATACTGCATCTCCAAAATGGTGTTACCTATGGCTCAACACTAGTCTTATTCTGCTTAAATATCTTAGCTCCCACATCTTTGCTTCGATTTACTACTTGATCTTTAAAGAGTAACTATTCAACATCATTCTAGAAACTTTACCCACCTTCATATTTATTCATCTTTAAATGCTTGAAAGAAAGTGAAAGATTATGAGCAGAGAATTTGGGTTAGAATTTCATGGCATTTGTGCGGAAAACATATGTGCAAGGTTAACCTGGATACTCATGATAAAAGACCTTATGTAGGAAAGACACTTAAGAGAGCAGATGAGATGAAGATTAGCACATGTTTGGAGGCCACAAGGCAGAATAAGATGCAGTAGGCAATAAAGGGCCAGACTAGTTCTTGACAGAAAATTAAGTGTATTTTGCATTAACTTTGAAATAATATAACTGATGAAAGGCATAATGATTTGTAATCTGATTTCAGAGTTTAAAGACAGAACAGGAAATTAAAACTGGTGCTGAAAAAAACTAAGGCATTTTGTTGTTAACAAAAGGAGGAAAATACATTTGAAAAAATTTGTAAGGCAGATATATAAACACTTTAAGATTATAGTTGCACATTTCAATGGCAAGGAGTAACTGGGAATTCTAGACAGAAGACAAAATGAAAATTTAAGTTGAGGGTAGTACACAGAAAGAGAAGTAAATTTATTTTAAAAATGTCATACAAAAGAGGGAATTTAGATGAAGAGAATGAAACTTCGGGGTGTGATTTTTGCTGCCTACATATGCAAATCAAAGGTCCACAATCATTTCCAAAAATACAGGGCATTTGAAAAAGAGATTCCTGAAAAACATATTTCAAAAGGCAGAGGCACCAACCCTCTCAAATAACGTGGGCTATTATTTCTCACTTACCAGGGTAGTTCCGATGTGGAAATTCTACTTCTAATATCCATGGCTCTTTTCCTTGCTTCAACTTGAAGACTGCATTTGGCCTATTCACACGATAACCTATTAACAGAGAAGATAAAGCAAATACTATAAATTGCTTGGAATACAGCAACTCTGAAGGATACGGAAGTGCTGCTTTCGGAGCAGAACAATGAAGTTCTCACGTAAGCTTGGCAAATTTAGATTCTATCAGTGGGGTAGGTGGGGACACCAGTATTTTTCTGGTACCCAAAATGGATTCATCAACTTTGACCCCTAAAACAAAGCCAATATTCAACCCTGCAGGGGTCTTACAAGTTCCAGCAACTGGAAGAGGAAGTGCAAACGGCTGGGAGTGACAGGCGGGGGAGAGCTCCTCACCCACTGAGATGAGGTGGCGGTAGTTCTCCTGCATCACTTCCCTGTACAGGGTCCTCTGAGCAGCATCCAGCAGCTGCCATTCCTCCCGGGTGAATTCCACAGTAATATCCTTGAATGTCACTGGCCCCTGAAACAACATGTTTCTGTTCAAACTGAAGTGATCAGAACAGAGTACCATCAAAAAGACATGTGTAAATTAGCTCTTCATGTGCCAACTATAGGGTTTACTCTATACACTCTAACTCTGTACCCTGTTTTATACACACATAAAGTATTTCTTCAGTATGTATTTACTGAAATACCACTCCATGCCTGGGAGCAACTATTTCTGGAAATGACCTGAAGAGTAGCAGAAAAGATTCCCCACACTAAATACATAAAGAAGGAACTACAATGAGACAGGTAGGAGGGGCAGACACAGTACAGTCAAGACCCATACCCCAAGTAGGTGACCCACAAATGGTAAGATAGTCAAAAGTAGAGGTTCTTCCCAAGGAGTGAGGGGTCTGAGCCCCACATTGGGCTCCCCTGCCTGGGGGTCCTGCACTGGGAAGATGAACCCCCAGAGTATCTGGCCTTGAAGGCCAGTGGGCCTTGCTAACTAGAGAGCCAGAGGGCTGCAGGAAATAGATACTCCACTCTTAAAGGGCGCATGCAAAATCTCACATGCTCCAAGTCACACTGCAGAGGAGGCAGTGATTTGAAAGACTGGCTCAGACCCACTTGCTGATCTTGAAGCACCTCCTGGAGAGGCAGAGGCAGCTGGGACTCCCTCTGGACATAGACACTGGCAGCAGCCATTCTGGGGAGCTCTTTCTACCATGAGGTACTAGTAAGCACCACTTTGGAGTCCTCCTTGTAGCCCATTAGTGCTGGAGGCTTACCTGCCCACCAGTGGGCCAATACCCAGGACACCCCAGGCCATGCAGCCAGCCACCCCGGGTCCCAGTCCAGGCATTCCACCGGCTGTGCAGCCAGCCACAGAGGGACCCAGTCCCTTCCAACAGTGGGCCAGCAGCCTCTGCACGAGGTAGGGCCTGGCTTCCAACAGGGCTGGGGCCAGCCCTGCCTGCAAGTGTCCCCACAACAGTCAGCCCTGAAACAACAGAAGGGCTCGTGCAGCCCATATAGGGGGATCTCCTGGAGCACACAGCTCTGGTGGCCAGAGAGGGGTGTGCTGCCTGGGCCTCATATGACATCTCCTACATAAGATTACTTCTCTATGATTGGGAAATGTAACCAACCTACCTAATGCATAAAAATAAAAACAGAATTAGGCAGAATGAGGATACAGAGGAATGTGTTCCAAATGAAAGAATAAGACAAACCTCAGAGAAAGCTTAGAGAAGTGGAGACAGGCATTCTACCTGATAAAGAGTTAAAAGTCCTAAAGATGCTCACTGAACTCAAGAGAAGAAGGGATGAACAGTGAGAATTTTAACAAAGTATTAGACACACAGAGCTGAAGGATACAATAAGTGAAACAAACAAAAGAGACACTAGAAGGAATCAACAGTAGATTAATGGATCAGTGAACTGGAAGACAGAGTAGTAGAAATCATGCAAGCTGAACAGAAAAAAGAAAAAAGAATTTTAAGACTGAAAATAATTTAAGAAACTTCTGGGACAACATCAAGCATTCACATTATAGGGGTCCCAGAAGGAGAAGAGAGAGAGAGAGGATAGCAGATAATTTATCTGAAGAAACAATAGCTAAAAACTTCCCTAACCTGGGAAAAGAAACATATATCCAGGTCTAGGAAACACAGAGTCCCAAATAAGAGGAACTCAGAAGAGGTCCATACCAAGACACATTATAATTAAAATGGAAAAATTAAAGATACAGAACCTTAAAAGCAGCAAGAGAAAAGCAACTAGTTATGAACAAGGGAATTCCTGTAAGACCAGCAGCTGACTTTTCAGCAGAAATTTTGCAGGACAGAGGGAGTGGCATAAATATTCCAAGTGATGAAAGACAAAAACCTACAAATAAGAATACTCTACCCAGAAAAGCTATCATTCAGATTTGAAGGAGAAATAATGAGCTTTAAAGACAAGCAAAAGCTAAACAAGTTTATCACCACAAAACCAGCCTTACAAGAAATGTTAAAGGGATTTCTCTAAGCAGAGAAGACCGTAACTAGAAATAAGAAAATAAGAAAGAGAAAATATCTTATTGGTAAAGGCAAACATACACTAAAGGTAGTGGATAAACCACTTATAAACCTAACAGGAAGTTTACAAGACAAAAGTAGTAAAATCATCTATATCCCCGATAAGTAGTTAGGGGATACACAAAACAAAAAGATTTAAAATACATAGTCAGAAACATAAAATGTGGACGGGGGAGTAAAAATGCAGGCTTGTTAGAATGTGTTTGAACTTGAGAGATCATCAACTTAAAATAATCATACACACACATGTTCTTGTATATAAACCTCATGGTAACACAAACCAAATAGCTATAATAGATCCATTTTAAAAAAAGAAATCCAAACATAACACTGGAGACAGTCATCAAATCACAAGGGAAGAGAATTAAGAAAAAGAAAGTATACAAAAGAATTACAAAATAATAAGAAAACAATTAATAAAGTGGCAATAATTATATACCTATCAATAATCATGTTAAATGTGAATGGACTAAATGCTCCAATCAAAAAATACAGGGTGGCTGAAAGCCTACAATGGACTCAAGATCTCAACACACACACAGACTGAAAGTGAGGGGATAGAAAAAAGTATTCCATGCAAATGGAAGTAAAAAGAAAGCTGGGTAGCAATACTTACATCACACAAAATAGACTTTAAAACAAAGACTGTAACAATAGACAAAAGAGCACATTACATAATGATAAAGGGATCAATCCAAGGGGATATAACAATGGTAAGTATGTATGCACCCAACATAGGAGCACCTAAATACATAAAGCAAATATTAACAAGCATAAAGGGAGAAGTTGACAGTAACAGTAATAGGAGAGGACTTAAACCCCCTACTTATATTAATGGACAGATCATCCAGACAAGAAATCAATAAGGAAACACTGGCCTTAAAAGATACACTGCAGCAGCCTGACTTAATAAATATATAGCACATTCCATGTGAAAGCAATACACATTATTTACAAGCATACATGCAACATTCTTCAGGACAGATCACATGTGAGGCCACAAAGATGTCTCAATAGTTTTGAGAAGATTGAAATCTTATTAAGCATCTTTTCTTACCACAGAAGTATAAGACTAGAAATCAACTATAAGAAAAAACTGCAAAAAAACACAAATGCCTGGAAGCTAAACAACATGCTATTAAACAACCAATGGCTCACTGACGACATCAAATAGAAAGTTAAAAAAAATACCTGGAGACAAAGGAAAGTGGAAACACAACATGCTAAAATCAATGGGACATAGCAAAAGCAGTTCTAAGAAGGAAATTTATAGTGATACAGGGCTACCTCAAGACACAAGAAAAATCTCAATTTAACCTTACACCTAAAGTGACTATAAAAAACTCTGAAGTTAGTGAAGGGAAGAAATAATAAAGATCAGAGAAGAAACAAATGAAAGAGAGACTTAAAAGACAATAGAAAAGATCAATGAAACTAACAGGTGGTTTATAAATCAACCATACTTCAATAGCAAAAAAAGAAAAAAAGGAAAATGCTAGAATTAAAACACTAAAAGTATAATTTAAGAAAAACAACTAAGAACTGGTTATTTGAAAAGATAACCAAAATTGATAAACCTTTAGCCAGACTCATCAGGAAAAAAAGAGAACCCAAATCAATAAAATTAGAAATGAAGAGAAGTTACAATTGACATCACAAAAATACAAAAGATTTTAAGAGATTACTACAAATAATTATATGCTAATAAAATGAATGACATGGAAGAAATGGATAAATTCCTGGAAACAATCTCCTGAAACTGTATTAGGAAGAAATAGAAAATCTGAACAGACCAATTACCAGTGATGAAATTTGAATTGGTAATTTTAAAAAGCTTCCAACAAACAAAACTCCAGGACCAGATGGCTTCACAGGTAAACTCTACAAAGACATTTAGAGAAGAGTTAACACGTATCCCTCTTGAACTACTGCAAAAAACTGAAGAGGAAGGAATGTTTCTGAACTCATCCTACAAGGCCAGCATCACTCTGATATCAAAACCAGACACCACAGAAAGAAAGAAAGAAAGAAAGAA